TGAAGAAAAAGTCAGTGTTATGCCAATAGGCAAGACATGTGTTTTGCTATTGTGATCTTGTGTTGTTTTATGGAAACTATATAATAGAGAATGTGTCTGTGCTTATCACTCCCTAGCTTCCTGCTATTCTTTGACTTGGGACTTTTGACTTTTATTTTGACAGTGCTGAAAGGTTTTGTTGGTTTGGTTGGTTAGTTGGTTGGTTTGTTTTATTTTGCTATTTTACCAGCCAATTGCCTTCTAAAACTTCAAATATGAGTCGTAAGCATTTCCTTCAGGGTGGAAAGGGTAGTTTGCATATACACGTACACAGAGGAAAAAAGCAGTTCCTAAAATATTTTGAGAGTTTCTTTTCTTTTCAGTCACTTCAGAGACAGGACTGGTGGTTCTCTCTCCCTGACACACCAAAATAGCTGTTTCACTGGGGTAGGTACAGAATTATGCTTTCCTCTTCAGCTTGCAGTTTTTTACTCTTCACTTCTAAAAGCCTCTGTTCTCCCTCCAATTCCTGTTTCCATCTTCATAACCGCATGGTAGCCCTCTTAACACTCCTGAAAACATGCTGTGGACAGCATTACTGCCTGCAGCATTCCTTGATTCCCTACCTTCTTCACACCATCTTCTGTATCTATACGGGGGGCAGCCGGATTCAGCTCTTGCAGCACTTTTCTCCACTTGTTCTTGGTAAAGTTGCTTCTGCATATAACAACAACATCACAGGAAACTGAACAAACTTGTTAGAATTTTAAGTTAATACTCCAGTTGCCTTCTAGCAACTTATTTCATAGCTTTCTTCATGGGTCACCCTGACCTAAGCCTGTGAGCAATTGTTAAAAAAAAGATAAATTACAATGTCTGTTGCAAATATCTCATTTTCTTTGTGGTGAAAGTTTGAACACTTGTGCATCACTCCACATTTAGACTACATGTTATGCAAGAAAGAATTTGATTATTTAGATCTTTTAATAATATTGTAGATTTAGTCCTGCACACAACAATCCCTGACTGGCATCTAAGTACTCGCGTGGAGGTTTAAGTAGAACTGGTCTTAGCTGTCTTATTCATGCCTCCCCTGTTGCTTCCACAGGCTGTATTCAGCTCGTGCCTCTGCAGTTTCCTTGCCTTCTCGTAATGCTTTTAGGGACCATACAGCAACAACACTGCCTTCATTGATTTGGCAAGGGTTTAGTTAACAAGGATTTTATAACCAGTTCTGTTAATGCCTACAGGATAAGTATCAGGCTTTCTCTCTCAGACCTATCTTGTCTTTTCTATATTTCTTCACTTTTCCTTCTTAATTTACTAGTATCTAAGTCCAAGAATGATTGAATAATTAGTATTTCCATGCCACTTTTCATAGTTTTAAAAACACACTGAATTGTATTATGGCTCAGTTTCATTGTCATGCAGTAAGACAGTTTTTCTTATGCCTAATGGGCTCGAGAACATTACTATTGTTCTGTATTTTAATTTGTCTTTCTATAACTAAATTTCTGTCATTCTTAAACCATTAATTTCTTGTCTTTCTGCTCATCAAGACTACCTTTTCAAGGATCTGGCCAAGAGCTCAGAACACAGATACATAGGCTAGAAAAGCAAGAAGGAAGTGCTTTACTGAGACTTCCCTAAAAAATATCCTTTAGCAAGCACTGTTGCTGTCCTGTCTGTTCTATTTATGATGTCAGGAAAGTAGAACAGGGGTCTTTCATTAGAACAAACGTTGCTTTCTCAACCTAAACATATTTCACTGGTTATGCCAGGAAAAGAAACTGTTCATTTTAAAAAGAAAAGGAGAAAAGGAACTAAAGTTCTTTCTGGAACTTAAAAAGGAACTTAAATGACTTTCTGAAGAAGAAAACTGTGCAAAGCTGGAAGTCAGTCAGGAAAGACACCTGGTGATTGTGTGGGCATGTAAGTAAAGTGAGAGCTCCATTTTAGAATGGAGAGTAAAAAGACGTGGACTGAAATCAAGAAGGGTGACAGAAGTAGAACCTAAGTACATATACAAAATCCCTGTTTGAATAGTGCAACCTACATAGCCTAGCTACCATGAGAATGATGAAGCTGTAGAATGGTCAGATTAGTAGAAGCAAGTCTTTAGCACAAACTAGTACAGACTGATGCCTTTGTATCCAGCCAGCTTGGTACTGTTTCCTCAGAGATACTTCAGTACAGATTAAAAAAAAAAAAGGGGGAGTATGAATTGCCTACTAATTTGCTTTCTGTTTTATAACTACAGAATGCCTCCACTCCTGATTAATAGCAGTTCACATGAACAGGCTGCTGTACATTATGCACCAGAAACCATTGGCTCCCTTGCTATCTTCATCCTCGTTTTCATCATAGGTATCCCAGGCAATGGGTTGGTTATCTGGGTAGCTGGTCTGAAAATGAAAAGGTCTGTGAACATTGTCTGGTTCCTAAACCTTGCTGTGGCTGACTTTGTGTGCTGCTTATCTTTGCCATTCTACATTGTTCACTTATTCCTCCATGAACACTGGCGATACGGTTGGTTCCTCTGCAAAATCATTCCATCAATCATAATCTTCACCATGTTTGCTAGTGTTTTTCTACTCATGGCAATCAGCATTGACCGGTGCCTCCTTGTGATGAAACCTGTCTGGTGTCAAAATCATCGAACAGTGAAATTTGTATCACTTGCATGCAGTGGCATATGGATCCTGGCCCTCATTTTCTGCTGCCCTGTCTTCCACTACCGCGAGATTGTCAACAAAGATGGCAAAACTGAGTGTGGGTACAATTTTGGAGACAATGAAATGCTAGATTATATGGATGACAGTGATCTTATAACTAAGTTATTGGAAGAAAACTCACCTTTAGTACCGACTGTCATGTATGCTAGCACCGTCTTCACTCATCAGCCTGCTGACAATTATCCAGGTTTCCAGGCAAAGAGTATAACCACCAACAAAGACGCAACCACGGCAGCTCACCTTTTTTATGCCCCTGTAGGTGTGCACTCCCTATTAACTTCCACTGCCTATCCTGACATCAGGCTATTGGAATCTGGTAGCGATCTACCTCACACTAACTCGTCTGTACCACCCGATGCTGACCTCCATTGGAATCTACTTGACTATCCTGATGTTTTGCTTGATTTTGACAGTGACTACAGCAGTAACGACTCACTGGGAAATTTTGATGCGGGTGATTATCCTGTACCTTTCGCCTTAATGATAGTAACTAGGGCTATCTTCGGCTTCGTGCTCCCCTTTGTCGTGATGACAGTTTGCTACGCCCTTATTGCTTTCAGAATGCATGCGAGACAGTTTCATAAGCCACACGGCAAGATGCTGCGAACCATCACGCTTGTGGTAGCGGCATTCTTCATCTGTTGGGTTCCGTACCACGTAGTTGGGATTCTGTTCCTCGTAGCTACTCCTGAAACAGAACCGAGGTTACTGATCCTCTGGGATCACATCTCTACAGCACTTGCGTATGCCAACAGCTGCATAAACCCTCTGCTCTATGTTTTTGTGGGTCGGGACTTCAGGGCAAAGGCACGGCAAACAGTGCAAGGAGTGCTGGAAGGAGCCTTTACTGATGAACCAACACATTCAACCCCTATCTCCTTTGCCAAAAGCAAGACGTCAGCAGACAAGGATGTTAGCAGCACGGTCTAACACAGGACTTCACCAATGCAGAAAGAAAGAGCTCTGTAAATCAATTCTCTGCTTTTTTTTTGCTCCAACACATCTGATCAATCAATATACCTGCACACAGGGCACTGAGATGGTTCAGATCACATCAGCAAATGCCCTTTACATCCTGCTATAAAGAGATTGGAAGCTGGAAATACCAAGAGTAATAATCTCTAACAGATGACTGGTGAAAGAGGAGACCCAGAGTATTTTAAAGTTGAAAGCAGACTTGGTGAACAATCTGTGGTGGGATCACGTAGTTTAACATCTGAATTGCTAGATACGGAACTCATCAGTTATTTGCATGTGTCTATTATAGATGTTGTGCATCTCCTGTCTCTGATAAAATGCAGATGAAATCAACGCTGGTGTCTTTCCTTGGAATCCACCATCTCACCTTTCCTCTCATTTGACTATACTGGGGCCTGGGAGGCTTTTTTCTTTAGATAAACCTAGAGGGAAGCACTAAATTTTCTTACAGCAGTACATCGGAACTTGCCCCAGTGAGCTGCATTTAACAGACTTCCATGCCCTGGTAGATGACCAAGATATCTCTTTATCCCAACAAATACATCACTGTACATTAGTAACTGGCCCAGTTCACAACATATAACTATGTTCATTAGCATGCACTCACTCACTGTCTCCCCAGCAGTCACTCCACCGACAGTCCCCAACTTTCCTTTTTGGATGTGGCCTGAAACAACCCAAATGTCCACGTTGCATTTTAAGATACCACAAGCAGAATTTGAGCAGCTGCCTTCACTGATGAACCAGATTGGATGGCTGCTGGACAATCACACAGTTGGGAAAACTTTGTAATTGAGAAGTGATAACCTCTAGTCTGACTCCCAGGAAGGTGGAGAACTAGCCTCTTTCAGCTCGGTCATGTCCTGCTCTCTAGCAGAGAGATGTGCTTGTGTCTTTATTGTACAGGAGGATAAAAATTGCTTCCTATCAGGCTTTTTAGGGGTGTTCCCCAGGCTTGAATGTTCCCTGTTCCTTATTAAGCTTTGGTTTAAGGAGTAAGGTCAACAAGTGCCATGACAAACAACTAATCCATGGTACAGTTTTCACTGCCTTTCTGGAAAATGTGTGAGTTGAAAGACTCACTGATCTCAGTTCTGGGAAGACAGACAGCTACAGGGACTTCCTAGTCTTTCTCTTGCAACCTAAGCTTCTTAGGTTGTCAGTGTACGTGCAGGTGCAAGCTGTTAAGTCAGAATTTGGGTGTGGACATGGCTATTTCCAAGGTAACTGGTAACAAGGTAACTGGTAATTTTCCAAGCCCACTTGTCAGGCACCGCCACAAGAAACTCAATACCGGCACCAAAACAGTTAAACCATAAACATTCACTTTTTCTTTTTATTAAGAAAGCATGCACAAAAATAAACTTGTGAGACCACACCCCTCTCTCCCTGACCATCGAGCAAAAACACCGTGGGCCAGCCTGCAGCGCTGAGCTGCGTGTAGCCGACCCGATGCCTTCCCACACTCCAACAACGCACATTTATTTCAGGGACAGAGGAATGAGGCTAATTTGCACACTGACCGGCACATATTTACATATGCAAATGAAGAGCGATTGAATATGCAAATGAGGCAAATATGCAAATGAGGAGCACTTGGATATGCAGAAGGAGCCATCTTTCTTGTTTTTGTTTTTGTTTTTTTTTTTCTTCTGGTGGTTTCAGGTATCCACAGGGCCGGCTCTCAGTAACATCCTCTGCAAAGCACTAACTGGCACCAACAAGGGGCTGTCTCTGGTGCCACGTTCCACAGAAAACCAATCACACATGCTTCCAAGTCGTGCCATTCCCATCCCGAGGCAGCAGAGATAACAGCTGACTCCATGCTGAAGTTGGTTCTGGAATTCCTCATTTCTCTTGGAAACACTCAATGATGAACTCCCCCCACACACACACTTAAAAAAAGAAAAAAAAAAAAAGAAAAAAGTCCCATCCCCCCCTCCCCAATACAATGAGACTCTGTCCACTTCCCTGACAAAGATCCAATTGGTTCATCCCTACAGCAAATTTAAAAAGCAATGTCAGTTCCCCACCTTCCTTCAGTCAGAGTAGAGGTTATGACCTCCTCTGCCCCAGGTACGTCAAGCCGCCATGGTATTTTGTGTGTCTTGTTCCCTTCACTGGTAAACAGGGAATAAAGTCTGGGGGGAGGCTTTATAAAACATGTAAAGGAAACAAAAGGTTTGACAGAACAGAGCCATACCAGAAAAAAAGGGGAACAAAGGACACAGTTTAGGAGAGGAGACATCTCAACACTCACTCCTGCTCCTGCACCTTTTCTGCCTTCCTGATTTGCTAGTGCCAACAGAGCCCATCAACTGGGATTTGTGCTCTACTCTGTCATCTATCTCCCCAGCTGAACTGCAAGGGTTTGACCCACCCTCCTCATTTTACACTATACTATACTCTGGCTGTTCAGTTTAAAAATCTGCCCCACTTCGTCCTCTCTTCTAATGCATCTCTTACAAAAATCACTTGTAAGGGCCTCCCACTTACTCGACCAGAGGGTTCGAGCCCCTTGACCAGAAGTCGCCTAATTCACCTCTGTTCTGAGCAGCAGCTTCCTCTTCCCACCATTTGCCTGTTCACAAAGTGGAACCACTGACTAAGAATTACACCTATGCAGCAAGACACCCATCATTATCATTTTCAAGCCACAGGCAAGGACAGTCTCCAAAAAAGTGCAAGGGGGAGAGGGCCAAATAACAACTGAACAAACTGAAAAAAATACTGATAGCGAGAAAATTTTTGGATTTGTATATGCAAGTGAGAGTCTCACTGCGTATTTGGAAGAAAGGCTTGAAGGGGTGATTGTGGGGGGTGAAATTAAAAGCTTTGGGGAACAGACTTTGCTGCATCGCGACACCCCCAACTGCTCCTTTTACCTGATGGGTATGCAGACTTCACCTCCCTGGAGGCTGCAAAAGGCAGTGTAGAAAACAGGTCAGGATTCCCCCAAAATCGCTCTTGGTCCTCACAGATGGCACTGCATTCTGAAACCTACATCTGCTACATCCTCATTTCTCCAAACTCAGGTCTTCCCTCACAGCTCAGCTCTGTTCTCCCTACTTCAGAGGTCTTTGTACTTGGGCTATCTCCTGCTTCTCTTGCTTTTCCTGCGGGTGCGAGAAAGTTCACAGAGCTAAGATCACCCCTCCAGTGTCCCTTTAGCCCCCAACCTTTACAACATTTAAGAAACAACAGAACTACAGGCTCCCAGGGTCCACTAGACTCTCTCACTCCGGTAGCCAATATGACAGATTCACTGGCCACCTTGAAGGGAAAGAGGGATTGTTAAACGCAAAATGATGGAGGCAGAGAAAGATGCACTCGAGGATTCAACCTTGCGAGGTCTTTTCGTGGCACCAAGGAACCATCTTTCTGCCCTCCACAGGGCACCACGCAACATGAAAGAGTCAATCTGATGCGTCCGAGGCCACCAGAGGAGGGGAAGGGCTGTGCTCAATTATTGATAATAACAATAATAATAATAATAATAATAAACAAAAGAAGAAAAAGAAGATAAAACAGGACGCAAGGAAGGATTATCTTCGGCAGCATCTTGCGGTGGCTTCTCTGGCGGAGATAGAGAATATATATCTATATACAGGCAAGGTGGGGAGGCTGGGGAAGGTGGTGCAGCACCATTCACCCCGTGTCCCCCTCGCCTCCCGCGTCCTTCACAAAGGACGGGCTCTTCAGTCTGTAACTCGCTAAGTGATCAAGTCCCAGTCGAAATCATCGGGGATTTCCTCATTGGCACCTGGAGGAGGCCCTGGAGGCCGAGGGACCAGATGGTGAGCTGAGACAAAAAAAAAAAAAAAGAGAGAGAGAAAGAACAGTTAGATGAAAAAAATGTTTTACTTTCATAGAAGCATCGTGGACTTCCTTCCAACAGTTTTAACAAGCAAGAACACTACTGGCATGAACTTCTTACCGTCAGACAGTACCTACTAATGTCTGTAGGTGGTGTGCTGTGACATTCTCCACAGCAGCTTCTATAGAGGTTCAGTTTCAGCTTCCTTAACTGTCCTCACAGCTGATTGCTGATAGAATACAAAGGACTTTGGCAACAAAAACTTCTCATGTAATTTTCCTTTGAGCAATTAACTGAAGGTGAGACTGGACTGTAAGATGATTTATGTGAGGTGAAATAAAATATTGATTTTTTTTTTTTCCTTGAAATTCTAAACCCTGATAGAGCACTAACGGAGGGTCTCTTGCAGTCCAATCTCTCTCTACCCTCAGTGCTTCACCAGAGAAGCACTTTGTTTTGGGAGAAATGCATAGAGGGCTTGGGAAACGGTTCTTGCATTTGTGATATTATGAAGAGGCTACCAAGCTTGGTGGGGCCTGAAGACTACCACCCATTCCTACTCTTTCACGTAGGATCAAATGAGACTGCAGCGAAGAGACTCTGAAACATAAAAAGGGACTTTACGTCCCTCAGAAAGACGTTGAAGTGATCAGAAGTGCAAGTAGCATTCTCCTCTATCTGCCCAGTTGGAGGCTGGAACCCAAGAAGGAGGAGATGAATGGACCAAGTGAGCAATTGGCTGCAAGGCTGGTGCCAAGCTCAAGGTCCTACAAGCTCAGAGGTACTTTTGAGAGACCAGGCACGCTGACACTGCATGAGGCACACCCGGCCAGGTGGGGCAACAACAGTGTTCTGGGCAGCAAGCTGGCTGGCCTTCTTAGCAGGGCTTTAAACTAGATGTGGTGGGGGAAAGGGAAATACTTCTGAGTGATGGAAGTGAACGTGGGAACACTGTCTCCTTAGGAAACAACAGGGAAATACTGGAGAACTGCCCCCAAGCAGTTAGGAAGGATTCCTCTGAAAATGCAATGAGATCAATAGCCCAGCTGAAGTGCTTCTACATCAATGCACACAGCGTGGGAAACAAGGAGGAGCTGGAAACAATGATGCAATTAGAAAAATATGACCTGATTGCTATCGTGGAATCATGGTGGGACAAATCACATAACTGGAACGCTGGAATAGAGGGCTACGAGCTTTTCAGAAGAGACAGGCAGGGAAGGAAGGGCAGGTGTGTTGCCCTCTATGTTAGGGAATGGATTGATTGTGAAGAGAAACCTCTGAGGAACAGCCATGGACAGGTTGACAGCTTGTGGGAGAGAGTTAAGGACCAGAACCTTGTTTTGGGGCCTACTACATGCTGCCTGATCAAGGGAAGCCTGCTGATGAGGCCTTCTTGCTTCAGCTACAAGAAGCATCGTGCTTGCATGCTCTCATCATGGTGAGGGACTTCAACCACACAGATGTCTGCTGGAAGAGCTACACAGCAGGCTGTAAGCAGTCCAGGAGACTCCTAGAATGCATTGAGGACAACTTCCTGGTCCAGGTATTAGACAAACCAACCAGAGAAGAAGAGTTACTGGACTTGATGCTTACCAGTGCAGAATAATTCATTAAAGAAATTAAGACTGGGGGTGGTCTGGGCTGCAGTGACCACACCTTGGTTGAGTTTGTGATCTCAGGGAACACGGGCCTGGCAAAGAGCAAAGCCAGGACCCTGAACTTGCAAAGAGCAAACTTCCATCTATTTAGACCTAGTGGATGAGATCCCCGGAACGCCATCCTTAGGGACAAAGGAGCTGAAGAGAATTTATAATTTTCTAAGGATGTTTTTCTTAAGAGCACAGGAACTTTCCATCCCTCTGTCTAAGAAAGTGAGCAGGGAGGGCAGAAAACCAGGATGGTTGCATAAGGACCTGCTGGTTAAACAGGTTCAAGGAAGAAATGCACAGGCAGTGCCATGAGGCAGGGACATGTGGCCTGGGAAGAGTACTTTTGTTTCCCTGAACCCATAGATGGAAGCTGGTGGAGCAAAGTCCCACCCACTGTAAGTGAAGAGCAGGTTCGAGACCACCTGATGAAACTAAACAAGTACAAGTCTATGGGGCCTGATGTCATGCATTCCAGGGTCCTGAGGGAACTGGCTGATGTAGTTGTCAAGCCTCTCTCCATCATATTTGAAAAGTCCTGGCAGTCAGGTGAGAGGTCCCTGTTGACTGGAAAAAGGGAAACATCACTACCATTTTTAAAAAGGATAGAAAGGAGGACCTAGGGAACTACAGAATAGTCAGCCTCACCTCTGTGCCTGACAAGATCATGGTAAAGCTCCTCCTGGAAGCAATGTCAAGGCACATGCAAAACAAAGAGGTGATCCAAGACAGCCCACATGGCTCCACCAAGGGTAAATTGTACCTGTCCAATCCAGTGGCCTTTTACGATGGAGTTACTGCATTAGTTGACAAAGGAACACTGACAAATGTCATCTACCTGGATTTCTGCAAGGCCTTTGACGTGGTCTTGCATGACATCCTGATCACCAAATTGGAGAGGTATGGATTTGACGGGTGGGCCATTCAGTGGATAAGAAGCTGGCTTGCAGGCTGCAATCCAGAGTGGTGGTCAATGGCTCTATGTCCAGGTGGAGGCTGGTGACGAGTGGTGTCCCTCAGGGGTCTGTCCTGGGACTGGTACTGTTGAGTTTCTTTATCAACATCATAGACAGTGGGATTGAGTGCACCCTCAGCAAGTTCAGAGATGACACCAAACTGACTGGTGCAGTCAGTACAACAGAAGGAAGGGATGCCTTCCAAAGGGGCCTGGACAAGCTTGAGAAGTGGGTTCGTGTGAACCTAATGAGGTTCAACAAGTCCAAGTGCAAGGTGCTGCAAAACTGGGTCAGGGTAATTCCAGACATGAGCACAGTCTGGAAGAAGAACTCATTGAGAGCAGCCCTGCAGAGAAGGATTTGGGAGTTCTGGTGGATGAAAGGCTTGACATGAGCCAGCAGTGCACACTTGTAGCCCAGAAGGCCAACTGCATCCTGGGCTGCATCAACAAAGGAGTTGCCAACAGGTTGAGGGAGGTGATAGTCCCCCTCTGCTCTGCCCTTCTGAGGCCACACTTGAAGTACTGAGTCTAGTTTGGGGCCCCCAGCACAAGAAAGACATGGATCTGTTAGAGCAGGTCCAGAGGACGGCTACAAAGATGATCAAGGAGCTGGAGTACCTCTCCTATGAAGAAAGACTGAGAGAGCTGGGGGTGTTCTGCCTGGAGAAGAGAAGGTTCTGGGGTGACTCCATCTTTCATAAAAAAGATGGAGAGCGACTCCTTGCTCAATCAGATAATGACAGGACAAGGAGGAATGATTTTAAACTAAAATAGGGGAGATTTACATGAGAGGTTAACAGGAAATTCTTCACTCAGAGGGTGGTGAGGCACTGGAGCAGGTTGCCCAGAGAAGCTGTGGATGCCCCATCCCTGGAGGTGTTCAAGGCCAGGCTGGATGAGGCCCTGGGCAACCTGATCTAGCGGGTGGCATCCCTGCCCATGTAAGGGAGGTTGGAACTGAATGTTCTTTGAGGTCCTTTCCAACCCAAGCTGTTCTGTGATTTCTCTGTTTTTTCCATGTATAAATATGCCTTAACATTGCCTCTTACCTGGTCGATTATATCCTGGAGAGTCCTGGGTGGAAATCTGGTACATAGGAGATGGCCCGGAGAAGAGATGGGGAGGCTGGGGCTGACCATAGGAGTTCACTGTGGAATGAAGTAAAGCGAACTATTAATGTTCTGGTCAGCTGTCTTGGTCCTGACTGGGTTGCAGCTCAGCCATAAAGCAACCCATTCAAACCTATGGGATACTGAGAAGTTGTTCAGTCGCTGGGTCCTAACCACAAGCTATAGCTTGGTCAAGGATCTCGTTTCTTGGCACCTGCAGGAGTTTATCTTATTAGTAAAGATTTTGTTTCCCATCAAAAAACGTCAGAAGATGACTCAATATTATTATTAATTTTTTTAATTTTGAACTCATTTAGTTCAGTACTAGGCAACACACACCATCACAGTTGTACCAAGACCATGTTACCCTCCGCACTCAGCCCAGAGAGCACCCTCTTACTTTTTGTCAGGTCATTCCTTCTCCAAAGTGGGAGCAAAAACTTTCTGTTTTACAGCTCCTGCCATCCAGAACAACAAACTCTCAATCTTACCATTACCAAACCAAAACAAATAAAACAAACAAGAACCTCTCCTTCTCTTTTTCCAGGTTAACCTTCTAAATGTATTTCTGTCTGGACAGGTAGTCTGTCAGCAGTATGCATCACATAATAATGGTGTGTCTAGGCCATAAACATTGGACATCCTAATTCTTTAAAGTCAGAGGAGACTGAGATGGTGTGGACAGCTCCTGACAGCCCAGCATTGAACTGCTTGGTGCTACACTGACTAGCAAGGCGGTAAGTAATTTAGGATATACAGAGAACTGCACCTTCATTAACATGGCATTTCAGTTTCCCTCCCAGTTACCTTGGTTCATGGATTGCTCCTGTTTGCCACTGTTCAGGGCACAAGAATCAGAGATTCGAGGGGGCTGCTGCGGGCCGACCAGATGAGGGAGCTGACCAGTCTGGGTAAGGAAGTGATTAAGGGAGTCGCAGAGGTTGGCAATATGGTGTTGATCCAGCGTCCAGTTCTTCCGCTCAGCCTGGCGCAGACTCTCCATCAGCTCTGCAGAGTACAAGAACGGCATCAAAGACAGCACTAACACCGCAGTCTTCCCTGTAAAGAGTTTTTGTTTTCCAGCTCTAAATCTCACCTTCCCCCCACAGACCCAACTTCATCACTTTTAAATCGGTCACTGGACACTTAGAGAGCTCCATTTTAAAGGTATTGTCTCACTGACTCAGGTAAGGGAGGGAGGGAGGAGCAGAAGGGAAAAAATCTTGGTTAGGTTTCTGACATCTATAAATTAATACCTCCTGCCCAAAATTTCTACAGCATTCAAGTGCTTTAGGGTCTTAATAGAACCCATGATATAGGACAACTCATTTTTCAAATAGAAGAGTTGAGTCACTGAGAAACCAACAAACTTGACAAATCTAAACTGGGTTAAAAAAAAAAAAAAACACCAATCTGTACACAGCACTCCTAAATTTTATAGATTACAGTCCCTAGTCACTAAGTGACTAGACTGTGTCACTAGACCAACACTGACCTGAGAATTGGGAGTGCTCAATGCTAGACCAGTTCAGCCGGTTTACCATCTTGAAGCTTTCCTTCAGGGAATCAATGTTGGAGCACCAATCAGGAAATGCTGGAATTAAACGGGTAAGAAATTATTCCAGTGCAGAATACCCTTCCCCTCTATCCCTTGATAAAAAATGACTGTTCACTCTTCACCAAGGATTCTAATGCTATAGTAGCTAGAAAAAAATTTTCTCTTGGAAGACCAGGTGTGATGTTTCCCTTTTCATTTAGCCCGACTTTATACTGCATCCCTAAACAGAATCCCAAACCCAGCGTGACTGGATCCCTCTTTCCTTCATTAAGAAGGCAATTTCCCTTTCAGATTTCAATCATAACCGTTTTCACCCTTTTTCTTCTCACTCTGCAGGTACCACTCAGGGAAAGTTCCCTTGTGGGATTTCTGTCTGAGGGCTCCCCATTGCTCCAGTTTCCCCAGCTGTTCTTTCCATCAACCCTGACTTACCAAAGCCAGCATTGTTGATTGAAGCCTGTGACTGCTGCTGCTGCTGGTGCTGATGCGGCTGCTGCTGTGGGTGGGAGTGTGGGTGATGTTGTTGATGCTGGTGGTAGCCTCCATGCTGCATTGGAGGAGGGTGCATGGACATCACTGGTGGAGGGACATAACTTTCACCACCCTGCTGCTTTCCCCCTTGGGACGGGCAACCGTCTGGGGTTGGAGTGTGGAGTGGGGGAGCAGCACCCACTGCTGAGGGACCCTGCTGCTGCTGCTGCTGCTGGTACATGTAGTAGTTGTGGTTGGAGGGTTGCATGTCACCAAGGAGAGAAGAGAAACCTGTGCGGTGAAAGAGGAGGGAGCTTTAAGAGCTGTCTGAATCAGACCTCTGATTAAATTATCCATCTCTAATTTCACACTGCTCATCCTGCTATTTATGAAGCTTTTGGAATGCCCTCTGGAGGCTGCCAACAATTAGCACCTTTATAGTTATGTTCTCACTGTGCTCCAGGTCCTGTTCAGAACAAAAGGCTCTACAAGAAAGCCCCAGCAGAAGTTAACCTTTTAGTACAGTGTTAGGCACTTAAACTCCTCCTTGGATTTTTCCTATATATACACCAAGTAACATGGGCTTTCTGGAAATTTCATGCCCATGTTGCTTTCCTAGAAATGACCACAAGCAAACTTAAACAACAAAACATTTACAAAATAAAGTTGGTAAATCTGATTTGCTGGTTCCAAAAGCTCCCTTCAGCTCCTATCCTACAAGCAGCATGGTCTGGAACCTTCACAGTTTTCCTCACACAGACCATTAAAAGTCACACATCCTACTGCTTTTATACACAGAGCACATGTCAGGGCTCCTTTATTATGGATTCTATGAAATTGATTTTATTACTTTAATTCCTCCCAATTCATTGGGCATGTCGCTTCTATCCTCTTCCATTTCAGACATAATCTACGTGCAAAAGCATCAGGTGTTCTCCACTCTTCCCCACATCAGGAGCTCCTGCTGCCTCTTATGTCTACTTCCCCAGTTCATTGTCCCCTTACATCTTGGACTTCTGAGAACAGTCACAGTGAAAGGCCACTAACCTGAGCTATCCATTCCTTACTTGACCACCTGCAAGCAAGCCTCAGTTTTTCACTAGACCCAGAATCAACCCTTAGACCACCCTACTAATTGTAATGGAACAAAAGGGTCAATATTAACATCTTAACTCTAAAATTGCCAGCACGATTTCCTCAAAAACTGCAACTTTTCCTAGACTATCTTATAGCTGAAGAACTGAGAAACAGACCACTGCTGAACTTTCACAAAGGTACACAAGTGAGTCAAGGTTCTTCTCTGCATTTTTCTATCTTTCTCATTGTACAACATCTTATACAACAGAGTACTACCAGTAATCTCAAGTGCCAGCATGATGAAAGTAATAAATGTAATAGCTTGTTATTTTACTGAAGCTACAAGTTTCAAGAGGCTCCTCCTGAAAGTAGCAGAGTAGCAAACCCTGCCTGCGCTGTATAACAGTTGACAGCATAGGTGAAATGCTCATCTAATTGTATATTCCTTCCTGCTAGTATTTAGAAGAACGTTTAAGGATATGGACAGCAAGTGGAGACTTTCCTGAAGTGTTTTCTGCAGAAACACAGGTCTCATCTCATCCCTACAGCGATTCTGCCCTCTGGTGGCTGGTTCCTCAGTCACAGAAATGTGAGCTATGAATGGAGTTACAGGCTCTTCCTTCCCCACAAAGCTCAATTCTCCAAGGTCTCGTACAAATTCTGCTTTTAAAAGATCTTCACAGTGACGACCTTCCATTCTCTTTTGAGGGAAATTCCACTGCCTAAATGCAACAACCCCCTCCTTCTTACAGTTTCTAGCTTGTCAGACTGTGAATACTTCTCAGACACACTTTTCTTCGGGACTTCATTTTTCTACGCTTCTACCATTTTAGCATTTGCTTTTCTATCAACACAAGGTATTTTTAAATCATAATCCTTTTTATTCTGAGTGAATGAGTGGGGAGCAATAGAGAAGGGGCAGGCAGATTTCTTATCTGCTCCTGGCAGAGCTAATTACAAACCAAGAACTAATTGCCAAAGAAGGAAAGTCTGTTTGCACAGGCTTCTAAAAGAAGAAAGACCTGAAAGCGTAAGGATAGATCAGCGAACAAGGACTGTGTAGGCAGGTACCTGCCCACCCCATGTGTCACATATTGTTACTCACCGTGCTGAGAGGAAGATGATTTCTCCAGCATGGATTTGTAGAGGTTTCGGAAGGACCAGCTAAGATCCTGGAAATTGATCTCAGAGTAGGAGAACTTGAAGTCATGGTTGGCACTGTACAGCGGGGGTGGCACGTCGGCCCCTTCACGGCCCTGCCCCCCCGCTACAGTAGAGGCAACATCCACAGGTCCTGCAGCCTGCTGAAAGGACCACACACAACAGAAATAAGGCCTTGGCTTTATACTAGGTTTTGTAACTTCTGACAGGGATCCAAACACTACCTACAGGTAGAACACGCGCTGCTATCTCCTATCACTTAGCTCACCTCCCAGCAGACCATCCCAAATGCCATTTTCCTTGACGGAAGTTAACCAACCACCCCCCATAGCACACTGGCTCCAATATCCAACCCGTTCTTAAATGTCACTTCCTCCTTATTTTCTGTCTGATTAACTTCTTCCCTTCCTTTTATTTTTCCCTCCCCACACACACACTTCTTTAAGGCTTCCGTCCTCTTCTCCACTGCTCACCTGACTGTAGTTGGCAATGGGGGCAGTGCTCTGGAGTGACAGCTGAGGGGTGGCCTCAGATGGCAAAGAGGCTTCTGTGCTGACTGGAACAGCACCTCGGGGGCTCTTGCTTGCCTCTTGCTCTGGGGAGTCTTGTGGTATCTGTGGAGGGGGAAGAAGGAGAAAAGAAGCCCAAATCAAAAACAGATGGAGAAGTGAAACTGCAGATGGGAAGCCAGCTCCCCCCACTGTAGTTCATGGCTTAGAAAAGAGGAGGACTAGGCCTTAGTCACCAAAGAGACAGGATAAAGGACTTTAAGCATTATTAACTTAGCTACCAAACAGCAACAAGAGCCAATCAGCACAATATACATGTTAATTCATTCAGTTCTAGCTTTTGTTTCCCCAGTGTGCACACTTTGCCCCCAAAATGACAGCATCATCTGGTGCTGGAAGGACTCCTTGGAACAAGAAGGGGGATTCCCCCTCCTGCTCCATGCTGTCAGGAAAGAGTAACACTCACGTCATCATCGGGAGGATGCCGCCTCTTGCGAGATATATCTGGACACGTATCTATTGTCCAATAAGAGCCCTGAAAAGAAGACCCAGTGGTGAATTACTGCAGTATTAAATCCGGGTGCTTCCTGCAGCAGGGATTTACTGCCTCAAAAAATGCCGCATTTACTAAACATTAGGACCACCTGGACCACCCTGAGTATCAGACAACCAAGGCCTGGGTGCTGGAAACAGAGGTTGCTCTCTTGCATCGTGTTGTACTGAACATTGCTACAGGTGGAAGGCAGGATGCTTTACGTTTCCATCACTTTGAGACATGACAACAAGAAGAGCAAAAGATATTTTGACCCGAGACAGACCAACTCTTTTGGGCCTGTACGCCTCCCTTCAGTACCTTCCTCACAGTGTTTTATTTTTATTGACTAATGAGGACCAACTCAGTGCTCAGACTGGGCAGAAAGAACGAGAAGGATCTCTTTTCCCATGCTTGTGAGACTTCGCTTTAAGTACTGTGCCCTCTTGGGGGCCTCCCAGGCAAGACAGACACTGACATACAGGAATACATCCAACAGAGGAGCACCATGTTGGCTAGGGGACTAAAATACACCATGTACAAGCAGTTCACACAGACAGATCTGTTTAGGCTGGAGAAGAGAAGGCTAAGGAAATCTAACCACTGTCTTCAACTATGTGATGAAATTTTAAGATGACAAAACCCAAACTCTTCTCAGATATGCACAGAATAAGATGCAACAAACACAAGTTACATCAAGAGAAATTCCAATCAAATATAAATGATGGTGGTGCATTGCTTAATGATGGGCATTTGAAGTGCCCATCAAAGGCCTGAACAACCCAATCATGTCCTGTCTGATAAGCTGGGAGGGGGGGGAAGCGTGGTGTTTGACCTCCTGAGGTCCCTTTCAACCTGAAATAGACTATAATTATGTCAGTTTGTTGTTTTCTGAAGCAGCATACACAGAACTCTAGGGTGTGATTTAACTCATTTTGACCTCCAGTTGAACCTGAATAATCAGTGACAAGCACAGGATCGGTTATCATTACAAACCCAGCCCAAAATGTCAATGAGCACCTTCAAACATGTACTCTGAAGTCAGGATGGGTTCCCTGGAATAAGCCATATAATCAATAGCATTTTGAGCAGTGGTCTCCAGAGACCTTACTTCAATTTTTAGATGCCAACTGAGCGTCACCTAGTCCTTCAAATATAACCTGAAAAGGCCTGCACAAAGGCCTGGCAACTTTAGGATGCTGAGGGATGGAAGAAAGTTAAAATAAATCAATAAAATAAAAGCTTTCTGTCTAAATGCATAGTTTCTCATCCGCACCATCTTCTTCTGCTTGTTTTTTTTGTAAAAGTAACTATCTGCTTGCCATGTCTTGGTTTTGCTAGCAACTCTCCTTTACAATTGTTACACACTAACAGGACTTTATCAGCCTTTACTAACACAATCAACTAATAAATTCGTGACTGCTACTTGTAACTGGTTTCTACAGATCTGAACTACCTGATCATGACATTTTTTTCCCCCAATGCCAAATTGTCTGCAGTCTACGTAAGTAGTTCTGCTCTCACTTCCCTGGATCTTGCCTCCGTGAAGCCTATGATGTCATGTCATAATCCTGCCATGCACCACCAGCCACTAAAATCTTTCGTAACAGAACAGGTTGGACCAGACCCACACTTAACAAATATAGATATATAAATATAGAAAAAGAAACAAAACTGAAAAAGTACACTTAACACTATTCCTTTTCCATTATCTTTAAAGTTAACAGAAGATCACAGATAAGAAAAAGTGCTAAAACTATTTAGGCCCTTTTACAGGTTCCCTTTAAGCAAATGCTTCTGTAGCCAAGCGCAGCAGTAAATCTTACTACTGCTTCCATTTCTGCCTGCACTTTAGGTTTCAAATTCCAGTCATGAGTTAGAAAGAGCAACCCCTGCTTATTCCTTGCAGTTTAAAATGTCTTGCCCAGGAGCGTGCAGATTTCTTACCTTCCCAGGATCATCCCTCGGTCGAGGCACTTTTCGAAAACACTTATTCAGAGAGAGGTTATGACGAATCGAGTTCTGAAGAGAAATTGAGAGATACAGGTAAGTGCTACAACAAAAACGTACGGCCTTCTGTGTATGCTCAGGTGTGGGTAGAGAAAACAGAAGGGAAGCGTATACTCAAAAGCCAAACCTCACTACATATACCCACCATGCAGCAGAACAGAAGCTTAGGAAAGGAGAGGAATAGAATAGGCTGAGTAACTGGGGCTGAACCACCTATACAAATACAAAAGGTACAGTGAAAATAGTATCAGCGTGATGCAGACACTGGCAGTAACGTGGGTTTTGTGGGTTCTTTTTGTTGGTGTTGTTTTTTTTTTGTGGTGATTTTCTTCCCTCTTTTCCCCAGGATTCTTTGTAAGGGCCACCACGTACATGCAACAAAAATCTGAGAAAAAAATGGGACCTCCGTCTCTCTTCATTTCTTCCAAATGGTCAACTTAATTTCACATCTGTTTCTCTTCATTTTGCTCAGTAAGCACATTTGGTACAGAACTAAGAAAATAACATCCATTTATTAGACGGAAAGGGCACTTTAGCTATGGAAGTCCTTACCTTCCAACCAATACCAGCATTTTTGTAGTAGGGAAAATTGTCACAGATCCAACGATAGATCTCACTGAGTGTCATCTTCTTGGCAGGCGACGAGTTGATTGCATACGTGATCAGAGTGGCATAGCTGTAACGTGGCTTCCCATCTTGATGCACTGCAGCCTCATCCTTACTCAGAGTAGCATTGGGATCAGTTGGTGAGCCTGGAGGACACTTTCGGGCAGCCCCTGGAGGCCCTGCTTGTGAGGAACCCCCTAGTTTTTCAATAGTAGCTCTTAAAGTAAGCTGTGGGAGCCAGTCAATGGAGGTGAGGCTGCTTTCCAGGTCAGAGGCCATGGTGCTGGAAGCAGGTGTATCTGTGAGAAGAACAAAAAGCACAATGAGAACTCCTGATACACAAACAAGGTAAACCATAACAACAGAAATATCCGTTTGCATTCCCCTTCTCTACTCCTTCCCCTATCGCAAAATACCTGAGTGAAGATCATCCGGCTTTGTATACGTTATTCAGACAGATATAATCATCCAAAAAGGCCTACCACTACGTCTCCAGGAGGACCATTCTTGCTAGGACAGCACTGATGATAATTTTGCTAGGACAGCCTTATCCAGAGCATCCCAACTGTTCTCAGGTAAAGAGCCAACATCTATTCAAAGGACAGGGACCCTCTTCAGCAGCTGCATCACATTCATTCCTTTACTACCTAAGTAATGTAACCTTGAGGCCTTCACCAAGATTAGCTGTAATACAGTAGGTTTGTCGTGTCATGTAAGAGGAGGATCGTGGCTAAAAGGGAATACTCACTCATTCACACCATATCCAAACCACAATGGATCTGATGATCTAATTAAGATCATCTGGAAAAGTCAGGACTGTGACTATCTTAATTTGGGGAGAAATTAATTTCTCTCTAAGGCCCACTCTGTCTTTTTGCATCAGGTGACATTATAATTAATCCTATTCCTTAGGGCTAGGATTACATATCTCATTTTAAAACACCAAGATCATGCATAATACTATATATAGATAATTACATCTACCATGTCGAGGTGGAACAGACTATATAAAGCTTGTAATAGTTAAAGCTTTGCCTACCATAACCCATTTTTCCTAAACATACATACAATTTTGATTGTATTAAATCTCGCTGAATTCACGAAATAACAAGCAAATATTTTGCCCAAATCTGAGACATGAGAAAAACTGACTTATCCGAGCTCACACTACGAGTTTGCCACAGGGCAGAAACATACTCGGGATCTTTCTTTTCATAAATATTACATATTCCCCCCCAACCCCCCCAAAAAAAAAAATTAAAACACACCTGTCCAACATGACTAGCACTTGTAGCCAGGGTTTCCTACTTAAATATTTTATAGGAATAAAATATTTAATAGCATAAACACGGATGAGCTTGTACACAGCACAAAAAGCTTATATACTGCCTTTTGAAGTAGTCAGGGCATCAGAAAGATCATTATTCTTACTTGCAATTAGAAGCATCATTATTGTTTGGACTGGTAGTTTCCACAGAGCAGTGCAGGTAGTTTCCATGGTCACAACCTGCACTGCTCTGCACTTAATCATTGAATAAAAATAAAATTTTGAAGGGCTGCAAGTTCTGCATCTTTCATTTTGGAAATTAATCTCTGTGGAGAATTTGATGATACCACCCCGTATCTCGCTAGTACATACAAAAGTTAAATGCCTAAAGACATGCACACGCTTTTGTACATGCTCACGTAACAAATTAACTACATGCCTACATGTCAGAGAGCACAGACTAGCGTGAACACGCACTGCTTTGGAAAGATTCACCAGTCAACACCCCCCACACAAGTCCATCACTCATCTGAGCAGATCAGACGAGAAAGGGAGACGCACAAATAGATATTCATTCATTCGAGTATCTGAGTACTCATGCAGAGCATGATACAATACTCTGGTGGAGCATTACAGATGCTCATTCTAAAAATAGGCATTTTACAATAATGCAGTGGATGCACCCAGCGTTTTGACACAGAAGCTCCCCACTCTGCCCCAAAACCACGTGTGTTACACAGAATCACAGAGTGGTTAGGGCTGGAAGGGGCCTCTGGAGGCCACCTGGTCCAAGCCCCCTGCTCAAGCAGGGACACCCAGAGCACACTGCCCAGGATCGCGTCCAGGTGGCCTTGGAAGATCTCCAAGGAGGGAGCCTCCACCACCTCTCTGGGCAACCTGTGCCAGTGCTCCATCACCTGCACAGTGGCAAAGTGTTTCCTGATGCTTAGAGGGAGCTTCCTGTGTTCCAGTTTGTGCTCTCTGCCTCGTATCCTGGCACTGGGCACCACTGAGAAGAGCCTGGCTCCACCTTCTTTGCACCCTTCCATCAGGTATCTATAGGCATTGCTAAGATCCCCCTGAGCCTCCTCTTCTCCAGGCTGAACAGTCACAGGTCTCTTGGCCTCTCCCCATAGGAGGGGTGCTCAGTCCCTTGATCATCTTGGTAGCCCTTTGTGGGGCTCTTTCCAGTATTTGTATGTTTCTCTTGTTTTGGGAAGCCCAGACCTGGACGCAGTGCTCCAGGTGTGGCCTCACCAGTGCTGAGTAGAGGGGAAGGATCACCTCTCTTGACCTGCTGGTGGTATTTTGCTTAATGCAGCCAATTAGCTGTCGTAGCAGCAATGACATATGGTTGACTCATGTTCAACTTGGTGTCTACCGGGATTCCTCGGTCCTTTTCAGCAGAGGTGCTTTCCATCGGAGTGGCCCCAGTACGTGCTGGTGCCTGGGGTTGTTCCTCCCCAGATGGAGGACTTTGCACTTTTGAACATGTTGAACTTCATGAGGTTCTTGTCAGCCCACCTCTCCAACCTGTCAAGATCCCCCTGCACGGCTGTGCAGCCCTCTGGTGAGTCAACCACTCCCCCCAGCTCTGTGTCATCACCACCTCTCCCAGATCATTAATTAAAACATGAAGCAGGACTGCACCCAGTATTGCCCTCTGGGCTTCATTGGCAGCTGCTGGTCTCCAACCAGACTTTGCACCACTGACCACTACCTTCAGAGCCCAGCCATTCGGCCAGTTGTTGACCCACCTCACACTTCTGCACCGATGTGCCCTCACAGTACAGAGGAATGCACAAAGCCTACACCCCGACACGTTCCTACACACCAAACCTTTCGTTTTCGTGCACATTTTCATGCACTCACGACACCTTTCAGGCCCGGGCCACCTACACAGCACACCAACAAAACCCACAAGCAGCTGCGCCAGCACGCGGGGCTGAGGAAACACCTCCCAGCGTCACCACTCACGCCCCAGCGCCTGCATGGATTGAAAAGTAAAATTGCACCACTGCAGTATCTGTAGTGGGTGGAAACATTTCTCTGCCTGTGGAGGAAAGGAAAAGCCCAACTGCTACTAACTTATCTATCTGCTCATCTGCCACAGTGCCACAGATGACAGCGATGACTGCTTGCTCTGCAGCTGAGTGATCAGAGCTGCAAAAGGCTTCACATCATGCAGCCTGCTGAAGTTATTGAACGAAGATAGTTCAGCCAAGAATGGCCAATCTCAGGCATTTCTAAAAAAAAGAAAGCAGCATTATTCCTTTCCAAATCATTCAAGGGTAAAGCAACAATACATTTTTACACAGCTTTGGGCACACGGACAAAGGCTGCTGAGACTGCTGACATCGAACGGAAACACAGCGAGACCTGCACGGTAACTTCACTTGGACAGCCCTCACTAACAAGTATTAGTTTGATCAACCTGGGAGGAAACAAACATGAACTGATGTCAGATGAATGTTGAATTTTCTAAGTGTGCCTCATATAGATTTCAATTTTTCACAATGCAATTGGAGAACACATCATCTTATCATATGCATTAATTCAGAAATATCAGTTGTGCTTACAATACAAATCAAAAGTAAAATAGTTACAAGTTACAGCTAACACCTCCTTTCTTAAACACGTATCAGGAAAATGAAGCTACTAAAACCTATAACAGATTGAGATACCAAAATGAAAGAAAAAAGAAATTATGAAACAACACAAAACACTGCAGTTTTCTTAAAGATTCAGATTTTCCCAACTTGTATCAGCAGAGCATTTAGCTCTACTCTATTGGCTATGAAGTAAAATGCAAAGTTGATACCAAAACACCAACTATCAAATATACAAGCACTACTGTGTTTGTGTAAAATATCTGTCAGGGAGGCAAGCAAGATTAGAATTGGGTCCCATCACTTTCACACTAAGAATCTGATAATTTTTTTCATTCCCTGGCTTATAAAACATTTTAACAAGAAAACAAAATCCTTAAACATTAACTACATATATAATTAAATATATATGTATGTAAATATATGTATGTATATGCACTAACCAACCCATATTGAAACAACTACTTCTCAGTAAAATCCAGCAGCTCTTTAAGAACACATATGCCAGACAGTAATTCTGGACAGAAAGACTTTTAGACATGAAAGCAATCACCTGTGATATTTCAAAGCAGTGGAATAAGACTGTTTTTCCAAGCTTAAACTTTATCATATTGCCGGAATTATGAATCTGTATCCTGGCAGTAAAGGATCTGTAGCATTCACACACAGTCAAACCCTCAGGTACGGTGGCAATTCCAGAACAATGCTGACAAAAATAATTTGGTATAATTTGTTACTAAATTCCTATAACAGTAGTACTTGCTATAATTTGTGCTGTGTATTTTCATTCATCTAATCCGAGCCGTACATCAGCTTGACACTACTTAATGGTACAGCACAACACCACTACAGCCAAACGTCAGCAGCTGATGGTTCTTTCATCTTCCCCTTCCCAGTTCATTGCCTGACAATTCTCCTTTCAAATTCCTTTTTTATAATCCCACTCAAAGAGAGGAAAAAAAAAAAACACAACTAGTGACTAACAAACACACTGAACTAGAATCAAGGGTGTTTAAAAAAAATCCTACCATATTAGCAAGACAGATTTAACTTCAAAGAAATAAAAAAACAGTTAAGGACCAGAATTCATCATCTCCCATTTTGCATGTACAGAAGTAAATGTTATCCGTTTATATATTTGGTTGACTTTAAAAAACAGCTGTAAGGTAGCCAGTCATAACCACCATCAGCAGCTGGAAACTGACTGCACAGTCTGCACTCCTCAAGTAGTAACTAGTTCCAGCACAAGACCAAGTCAAGACAGATCAGAGATACAGAAACAACAGCCAAGCACCAACTCAGATCTGCAGCTAAATACACAAGAACCTGTCTGATTCATAAGGAAGACGTTATTAAAGAAAATCCTAGCACGGAATACCTGCTAATAACCATTAATTCCCTCGGGACTAGTAACACTTCACTG